TGACTTCGTCTGACGCGGCATAGTGCTTCCTTTGCACTTCCACCTCCGCTTCCAACGCCTCGCACTGCCGGACCTGGATAGAGCATTGCCGCTTGCTTGCACTCTCCATTGTCGACTCCATTAGCTCCCCGTGTTTCTCCATCCATTCCGTCAGCGCCTTGAAAGTTTGCTGCCTTGCGCTCTTCCTTTTCCTAGAACCGTCGGGGGTGCCCGTCGTCTGCGAAGAGCCTCGCGTCGACGCCTCCTCATCGTCTTCTCGCCCTGCACCTCCTTCCCCGTCCGCCACCGATTCAGGATCCACATACGACGTTGAAGGCGGGCGCACGCCGCCAGACGCACCGGTGTCTGCCACGTTCTTCGGGTGGATGGTGTGGTTCATCCCAGTCGACCCCTCTATCTCGTCATAAACTGCGCGATCCATCGTGAAATTGAAGCCCCTGCTCGCCCTCTCCTTCGATGACAACTGGAAAAAGTCTGCACCCCCTGACAGTGATTGAAAGTGATGGACTTTCTTGAACTGCTGCATTAGATTGTCCCACTTCTTCCCGCATTTCTCCGCATTCCTGTCCACGCCGACGTTCTTAAACCTTTGGGCGACGTCTTGCCATTTCCATTCCCGCGGTTTCATCCGTGCGTATGCGTGCCCCATCCCCTGCATATGCGCATCTTGGTCACGTTTAGCCCTTATGAGGGCTATAATGTGTTACACGGACCAGAAGTTGCGCTTCTCCTCCACATCACCGTCGCCTTCGCCACCGCTCCCCTTTCCCTGCCCTTTCTTCGCCCGCGGACGAGCATTGTGGCCGGAAGGCTTGGACTTCCCGCCCCACAGTCTACGTCATTGTCGTCGCCGTCGTCGTCGTCGTCTGCTTCCGCCGGTGGATCGTCCGTCTCCTTCTCGTTCTCCCGGTCTCCCACGTAAAGACGCTCCACCCCCCGTGTGATGTATTCCTCTCGCCGCAGCCGGTGATCCCGCCGCAGGTCCCTCCACACCTCCCTCCCGTCGCGACCATCACCAACATCCAAGAAGTCGGTCCCGCCGTAGACTCCGACGCCACGGCCTCGTGCCACTTCCGACGCCGCAGACAGGGGAGATGGCAATTGCATCCACTCCGGCTGACCCTGGGCGCCCTTGGACAGAGAGGTCGCCCATGGTTGGGCCGTCGACGAGTTCCGGTTCGCTCCCGCCGTCTCACTCGCCAACGCCCTCGTCCTCGCTGATCGATCAACAGCTGTCAATTGCCCGCCTTCGTCGCCGGGGTGGGGTCGCACGAGCACTGTGCACGATGGAGTTGTAGACCGCCCGGTGGACAAACCAAACGACAGGTTGACGCGGCCATCTCCTTCGTCTTCGCCAAGGCCAGGCCGAAGGAGTTCAGTGAACGACTGCTCGTACACGCCGCCGCCCGTCCCGCACAGCTCCGTGGCTGTCCACTCCTGCGTTGATCCGCTGCCATACGACACGGTTTGTGGCCGTCTCTCCACCTCCTCCTCCTCGTCCGATGAGCCGGGGAGTGGTTGCAAGTGTGGTGGCAATGCATCATACCCAACCCGCTGGGAGGCCCTGCCAACGGTCGACAGGCTCCCCCCGCACCGCCTCCCTCCGACCTGCTCCCCACCGGACCGGGGGATCGCCTGCCGTGCCTCCATCCTGGCGTCCTTCATCGAAGACCTTGTTTTCGTCGACGCGGCGGCACGTTCCCAAGGATGCACACGCGGAAGAGAACCACGAGGAGCAGCAACAGGACAACGAGGAGCAGCAGCGGCAGCCTGCGGAACACGTCAGCCATGAAACAGTCGACGACGATGGCAGCAAACGGAAGACAACGCGGGCGCCAACATAACAGTGGACCGCAGTGCTGCAAACGGTCGTCCCGACTTCGCAACAAACCCCCGAGGACGTCTTCGGTCTCCCACGGCCAGTGTGTAATTGGGAGCGGGACTCCGGCCTGAAATATTCGTATCTGCCGACCGTTGGGACATTCCCGCGGATTGCCAAACACGACGATGCAAGACGGCATCTTCTGGACGTCGAGGATGCCGGTTGGCCGCAAACGGTAACCGTTGGAGTGAAGCCGAACGTTGGCGACCCAACATGTCCGTGGAGACGCAGGCAGGACCACCGATGGACCAGACGGAATTGAAAAATATCGTCGAAGGAGCTGCCGTCGACGCCCCGATTCTTCCGGAAGCTCGACCTCCGAGGGACCTCGGGAGGTCCCTTGGAGAAATCGCCAAAATGGCTGTGGCCCCGAGGAATCCCCAAGGAATCCCCGAGGAAATGTTTTCACATTTTCTTTTCCGCGTCTTCCCCGAGGATGAGTGGAACGAGCGTTTCCTTGGGGAATTTCGGGCCCCGAGGAGTGTCGAACGAGGCCCTCAATCCCGGTGGTTCTCTTACCACCACCAGGATAGAGGCCTTGCACAAGGGCCTTCAACAAAAAAAAAAAAAAGGTGTTTTATTCAAGGGATGCCTGAAGTGGATCAGCCCCGGACAGAAGGTACATGACAACATGTGATCATTGCTGTGTAATGAGTGTATCCAATGGGACGCTGGACCAGATTTCCAGCAGGTGAAGCTCCCCGCCAATAGATGAAGCAACCCCACAGGCAACGCCTCAATCCTAGTGGTTCTCGTACCACCACTAGGATGGTGGGCTTGCAATGCGTTTTTTTCTCAAAAAAAAAAAAGAAAAAAAAAGAGCTGAAAACGCGAGTGTGCCGTAGTTACCCCCTTTTTTTTTTTTCAGTCGTGTGCTTGGTGTTTTTTTCTGTCATGCACCCTTCCTTTTTTTTTTTTTTTTTTTTTAAACACCCCCACCAGTGTTGCACCCTTCCAACATTTGTTGTTTCCCTTTTTTACCTTTTTCTTTTTCTTTTTTTTTTTCAGAGCCCATTTGCAAGCCCACTATCCTGGCTGTGGTACGAGAACCAGCGGAATTGAGGTCTTCCCTATCGGGCTGCTCCATCGATTGAAGGGGAGCGGCACCTGCTGGAAACCGGGTCCAGCGTCCCTTGGATACATGAAAAACTATAAGAGAATGATCTTGAAGTATTTGTGCATGGTTTTTTCTCCTGGGAGGTGGAGCACAACTGAGTTGTACTGAAGCTACCCGCAATATACTTTCACACACTTCTTTTTTCTTTTTTTTTTCTTTTTTTTTTTTGGCTTTCACACACTTCATCACCAGCGACTCAGTTGAACTCACATAAAATGGTCTGAACCAGCATACAGCACATGTCGGGTTCTTAAAAAAAAAAAAAAAAAAAAAAAAAAAGATCCCCGCACCAGCATCTGGGATCGGTACATATGCCTGCGAGCAGCCTAATAGCCAGCTGGTCTCCTGAGCATGTCTGGAATAAGCCGGTACCAGCAGAGGATGTCTGAGGGACAGAAATGCAAATGTGCGGTTGCCAGATGGTCTCCTGAGCATGTCTGGAACAAGTCCGTACCGGAAGGGTACCACCAGAAGATGTCTGAGGGACGTAAATGCAGATGTGCTGCCTGTTTTTTTGTTTTTTTTTCCTTCAGGAATTCCAGGGGCCAAGTCCCACTAGCATTTCTCCTGTTCTGGTAATGGGGTGGGGACCACCTCCCTGTTGTGTGACACTCCTTTCCACCGCCGATTTCCATGGATCATAGGGCAATGCCATTCTCTTCATTTTGAGGCAAGAGGTGAACTCGGTGCTTTCCCATTGGTTGCACATGTTCACCTTCTTTTGTCTTTTTTTTTTTTTTTTTTTTTTTTTTTTTKAAAMAACCCSCTTCAATGCTAGGGGTGCTGATATGAGCAGACACCGCTAAGGTGGTCTGTGAGTCCTCCTCTCTGGGGCAGGTGCACATCACACTAGAGAGGGGGATCGCCAGTCCCGTTTCAGATATGGTGGTCATGAACCAAAAACAAAAAGAGAGAGGACAAAAAAAAGGAAGAATTTTTTTGAGTAAATACCTTCCACATGTCGAGGCTACATGTAGAGTTAGGGCATACTCACACGGCGACCCCAAATCCGCAATTTGGGAAGGGCCGATTTGAGGTTTTGGGCATGGTTCACGTCACACTGCTGTGCCTTTTCAGACGGGACAAGGTCACGGCCGTCTGGAGAAACGGGGATTTGGTACTTGGCTGGTCACACGGCGCGATCCACTAATTGTGCAAGAACTTTTGTGAACGAATTTTTGCCAATTTCGGGAAAAAAAATGCAACAAATGAAAATGGGCATTTGCGGTCACCTCTAGAGGTGACCACAAAATCCCTTGCCCCGCAGCTTCCCAGGCCGGTGACAAATGGGCACTGGAATAGTACCTTTGCGAATTTGGTAGATCCGTGTGACCGCCCTTTTACCCTTTTTTTTGGGATTTCGGGATTAAAAGTCCCCGTGCGAGTATGCCCTTACAGTAGCAAAACCCTGCATCACCAGATGGCCATGGTGTGCTCAAGAAAGCAAAGCCTTCACCATTGGCTAGCTGCAATGCTCTCCAAAGGTGGAATTTGACAATGAACTTTCCACAACAACATGCAAACATACAATTCCATATGTTTTGTCTTTTGTGAATGTTGAGCTCAGTGCAGCTGGGCCCATTCTTTCACACCCCATACTTGCCGACGACGGGGGCAGCTTCCTCTGCGTTTTTTTTTTTTTTTTAGGTACTCCATGTGGAAGAACTGTAAGCGCTTTACACAGCTGGAATATTCTTTTGCCCCACGGACAAAGTAAGGCCGCACAACGCCGCCCACCGTCGCAATGTGTGGCGTAATTCTGAAGACAGGAACAGGACCGCCGCTAGTGGGACTTGGCCCCTGGTTCCCGTCTCATTGTGCATCAAAAATTTGGACCATTTCTCATTTATGTGTGTCATCCTTCTTCTTTTTTTTTTTTTTTTTTTTTTTTGCTCCAATTTATTCGTGGGGAGGAGCAAGTGCTGGAAACCGGGTCCAGTGTCCCACATGAATTCTTACAGAAAATATGAGGTGCCGGGGCCATTACCCGGCTTCGGCTAAGAATCTTTTTTGATGAAGAACTGCAAAATTGAATACTATGCTATATCAGCAGTTCCAGCTTCCTAATCATAGAGCAAAAAAAAAAAAAAAAAAAAAAGTGAGTCATCCTTGTGCGGCGGTTATGCTATGCAAGTCATTGCGGAAAAAAATAAGTGTCTCCTACCCAGCGTAAGGTTCTGGAAAGCGTCAGAGCGGGGGACGGAGAGCTCAGAGAACAGATTTAGGAACAGATCCAGATGGAATTGCTGCGTAGATGGTTTGGTTTGAAGAACCAGCTGGGTACCTTCCCAAAAGAACCAGCTGGATACCTTCCAAAAGTCTTTTGCACAGACTGACTCAGGGGAGATCGAGGGGGATGGGTAGGAGACCGAGGGGGATGGGTAGCTACGGTACAGTGGGGAGGGGATCAATTAAACCACCAGTACTTGGCCCAGCTATCGGCCGCGGAAAAAAAATAGAGTAGAAACATTTCTAGTTGGATGAATTTGGGCGCTCCTGTAGTGGCCCGTACATTTCCTAAAATTGCGTAGCGTTAACGCTACGCGACTGTAGGAAGTACTGGTGGTTTAAGTGGACAGGCCGGAGCAGAACAGCCCCCTCCCAGGGATTACCGCCTGGTGTTTAATGATTGGACTAACTTCTACCCCTCGTTCCCCATGCGACCCCCTTCTGATTTCCCGGACCCCTTTCCTCCTCACCCGCTTTCTTTAGCTGAGACCTTTATTTGAAATAACCCCCCCGGGTGCACCCCCCGGTAACACAAAGGTTCGGCAACAATTTTGTGAGCTCTGAGAGCCTGTGAGCGTCACGACAACGACAGGAAGTGCGGGAAGCAAGGGAGCAGAGGTGGAATCCCTCAAGCTCAGAGTAGGCAGCGCAGTCACATCAGGAAGAGGGTTTTTTTTTCTGGCGGTCGGATCAGGGCTGAAGAGATGTCTCTGCAATGCTTACTCCCCTGTGCCCCCCAGGAAATGTTTACCAGAAGATACATGATCCCTTCCCTGCCCAGTAAATCCTCTGGATACCAGAGTAATCAATGCTGGCAGGAGTCTCCTTAACCCTTCCCTGCCCAGTAAATCCTCTGGATACCAGAGTAATCAATGCTGGCAGGAGTCTCCTTAACCCCCTATCTGGATGACCTCCCATTTCAATTCTGTTTCAATTCTGTATAAGGGACGCTGGACCCACTTTCCAGCAGCTGACGCTCCCCACCAATAGATGGAGCCTCTCCTGGGTGCTAGTGATATCTGTTTTAATCAGTATCTTTCTTTCTTTTTTTTTTTTTTTTT